CCAGGCCAGCTGGGACTACAGGGAGATCCTGTCTCAAAAAAACAAAACAAAACAGAACAACAACAACAAAAAAGCCACAAACAAAACAACAACCAAAAGAAAATATTTAATATGTACTTGTCATATATAAGGCACTGGGATTTGACAGAATACCCAACCAAGTCACTGAACTCTTGGGCTAACGATGTAGTACAGTTAGTAGAGTGCTTGCTCCATATACATGAAACTCTGGGTTTGCTCCCCAGTACCACATAGAACAACAACAACAAAAAAGCCACAAACAAAACAACAACCAAAAGAAAATATTTAATATGTACTTGTCATATATAAGGCACTGGGATTTGACAGAATACCCAACCAAGTCACTGAACTCTTGGGCTAACGATGTAGTACAGTTAGTAGAGTGCTTGCTCCATATACATGAAACTCTGGGTTTGCTCCCCAGTACCACATAAACTGGGAATGGTGGTATACAATCTGTAATCCTAGCACACAGGAGGTAGAAGCAGAAAGATCAAGTTCAAGGCCAGCTAGGTCTACATGAGACCTGTCTCAAAAAAAAGGGGGCGTGGGCAGGTATGGTGGCACATGCCTTTAGGGCCTTTATTTCCAGCACTTGGGAGGCAGAGACAGGAGGAATCTCTGTGAGATCAGGGCCAGCCTGGTCTACATAGTGAGTTCCAGGCCAGCTGTGACTATAAGGGAGACCCTGTCTCAAAAAAAAAAAAGCTCAACTCTTTAAAAAAAATTTAAACTTGAGGACAGTTTTATTAGAGTTTAAAAGAAAAACCCCAGGACAGGCAAGCTGTAAGTCTTGGCAGGTGCCTGGAGGAGGTAGATAGAGAAAAGAAAAAAAAAGTCATGTGTTAGGCTAGTCACATGATGGACAAGCAGCCACATGGCAGGGAAGGGAGCTCTAGTGAAAGAATAAGGAAGCCCAGAGTACCAGAAAAAGCATCCTTAGGTTCTGACCACTATCTGAAAGAAAAAGACAGAAGAGAAGAAAAGGAAAAGTTGGACCTTTCCGAGTCAGGCCTCAGAAAGATGGACTGACCCAATGGAACCTCAGAGCAGCTAGTAGGGACGTAGCGAATTTGTATTTTTATTTTAGTGGGGTGGGGGAAGGACAGATGACAAGCAAACAGCCCAGAGAAGAAACTCCAGGATTTCTAGGCGCTGTACACTAAAAGAAGGTCTCTTTGAAAGCTGACTTTTTTTGTTTGGCTTTTTGAGACAGGGTCTCCCTGTAGCCCCAGCTGTCCTGGAACTCACTATGTAGATCTGGCTGGCCTTGAACTCACAGAGATCCGCCTGCCTCTGCCTTCTGAGTGCTGGGATTAAAGGCGTTTGCCACCACGCCCGGTGAAAGCTGACTCTTACCAGCTTTGTGAGAATCAGACAAAAGCAGATGGAGCTGTAAGGTGGAAACAATCTTGATGTACTGGGGAAACAAAAAAGGGCCAGTATAACTGTAAAGTATGGGGCAAGAAGCAGACAAGAAGGCAGACTTTTTACAAGCCAAAGTATTAGGTTACAGGTTTGTAATTTCTTCTAAGTATATGGGAAGCCAGGAGGAAATGAAATAAAATGCATTTTGGAAAAATCACTCTGGGAGCTTATAGAGAATGATGGAGAAATAGGAAGACTAGTTAAGGGCTCTGTCTGTTGCTCAGATGAGAGATGATAGCAGCTTGCACTAGTGGTAGTGTAGAGATACAGAAGTTAGATTGGGGTTTGTAATGGAACTTGCTCATGCTTGCCTGAGAGCTGCAAAGGGAGGAAACAAATCAATAGTAATGCCTACATTTTCATATTGAGCATTGGTATACTTTGCATATACAGACACTGAGGGAGGAGCAGATTTAGGAAGGGATAGAATTAAAGAGTTCTCTTGTGGCCGTGTTCAAGATAAGTAAGGCACTAGATGGTGTTAAGGTTCAGATAGCCCCACCCCCTCACCAACAGGGCCTCATAGACCTCACAAGCCCCTGAGAAAAGAGAACCGAGTTGATAAGCACCCTGGTCTTTGAAGTCAAGAGAAGCAGACTTTTCACCACTGTTTGGCCAACACAGATGAGATGTTTGATCTCTAAAGAGGGCAGATTTTAACAGTTCTGCTCTCCTGCTCCCCCCCACACAACTTAAAAATATCGTCCCACCTTGTGCACCCCCCAGAAGCCTCCCTCTATAAAAAGACCCCAGCTCACGACCCAGGCAGACATTTTCCCTGCCCGGAAGGGAATCTGTCCCATGTGTTCCTTTGCTAATAAACTCTATTCTAATGGAGTTTTATCTGTGTCCTGGTGCTTTCTCCCGATCAACCGGATTCATCCATAGGCTGCTTGATCTATCAGATGGTGCTGAAACCGGGGACTCCCCTTCTCCCAACCCCTCTCCTATGTCAAGCCATACTCGCTCAAAATAGCATCCTATATCTAGAGAGATGGTACCAGGGAGAATGAGTTGGAGGTAAAATTGAGAGTCAGTGGTGCTTAGATGGTGTGTAGTTAGGATGTCAGTTCAGCTGCTATGTGGAGACCCCTAAACAGCAGGAAGTTAGGTTTTCTTTCTTTCTAGTGAGGCAGCTCTATGGCTATCAGAATCAGCCTGTGTTCTTGGTAGGTATTCTAGCTTTGCTGTCTAGTTCGTATTTTAGCCATTGGGAAGGAGAGGAAGGGGAAGTCGTGCCTTGGAAGTTCAAGTATTTCTTTTTGCATCCATTAGAACCTAGTTATCACATGGCCACATCTAGCTATATGGGAAGCTGAAGAATGGTTTTTGGGTGGGTGATCAGATGCCTGGCTAAAACTTCTATTA